CTGAATGTCCACAGTGAGTAAACTGAACGTTCGTAGTATGCTTACTGAATGGCCACAGTGTGAAAGCTGAACGTCCACGGTGTGTATACTTGAATGCCCACAGCGTGTAAACTGAATGTCCTTAGTTTGTATACTGAATGTCTACAGTGTGTATAAAGTAAATGCAAACAGTGTATATACTGAATGTGCTCAGTGTGTATACTTAATGTCCTTAGTGCGTACACTGAATGTCTACAGGGTGTATACTGAATGTCCTTAGGGTGTATACTGAATGTCTACAGTGTGTAAACTGAATGTCCTTAGGGTGTATACTGAATGTCTACAGGGTGTATACTGAATGTCTACAGTGTGTAAACTGAATGTCCTTAGTGTTTATACTGAGTATTCTTAGGGTGTATACTGAATGTCTAAAATGTGTAAACGGAATGTCCACAGTGTGTAAACTGAATGTCTAAAGTGTGCACATACATATTTTGCTCAGTGTGAACATACATAATTCCCATAGTGTATGCATGTATAATGTCCATTATATGCACAGACATATTTTTAATAATGTGGACATAAAGTGAACATTCATAAGGTCCACTGGAATATTTAGAGGTAGTACCCATTTTTCCCAATCTCGAAAGTACATGTTAAGAAGGGAATGTGATATCCTTACATATTAATGACCACAAAGTGTTTATATATATTGTTCATAGTGTGTACATACAGAAAGTAGACATTGTACACAAACTGTATGTTGTCTGTACATACATACAAAATGACCACCGTGTTCTAATACAAAATGACCGCTATGATGACATACATAATAGCGCAGTGTTCACATACATAAAAACAACATGTTTACATACATAATGACAGCTTGTTCATATACATAATGGCTGCATATTAAATACATAATAGCGAAGTGTTAACATACATAATGACCGCATGTTCACATACATAATAACACAGTGTTCTTTTGCATAATGACCACAATGTTCACATACATAATGACCACAATGTTCACATACATTATGACCGCATGTTAAATACATAAAAACGTAGTGTTCACATACATACTGACAGCATGTTCACATACATAGTTACGCAGTGTTCATATACAAACTGGCCACAGTGTTCGCGTACTTAAGTACCGCAATATTCACATGCATAATAAATCTTTGTTCACTAACATAATGGCCGCATGTTCACATACATAAATGACTGCAAATAATACAAATAATAATCTCTCCACTGTGTTGCCATATTAAATGGTTGGTCTTTTATATACATAACGTGGTCAATGTTTGTATACATATCGTTGACAGTGTATACAGACTCATATCAATGGTGTTCACCTTCAGAAAGTCGACTGTGTTTACATACTGTAAGCCGACAGTTTTTATGTACATAATGCAGACAGTGTTTGCATAGATATTGTCAACACTTTACATATGCATATCAATTGTGCTTAAAAACATACTGTCGACAGTGCTTACATTCCCATTATTGACATATCATATATATGTATGTTTACAAATGTCGACAGTATTTACATGCAGATGTGTCGACAATGTTCACAAAAAATATTCAAAGTGTGTGCATAAAGTTTATAGCTTGAACATACAGAATGTTAATTGCCATTTTTTCATACAAAATATAAATAGTATTTACATACAAACTGTTGCCTTTTACGCCCAATTGAATCTGTTTCGTAGGATTATCGAGACTTGTTATTCGGCTTTATATTTACATTCAATATGTCGGTAGTGCTGACAATAGAAAATCCACAGTGTGTACATAAAGACATCATACAGTTTCAACATATATAATGTCGACAGTGTCTACATACAGAACATCGACAGTAATTGCATACATAATTGATGTACTATGTTGATGCAGAACGCAGTTAACAAGTAGAGCACTTCCTCAGAAGCTGCCACATCTACACGGACGGGAACATACTTGGCGCAAACTAGCATGGCGACAGGTGGTTTAGGAATAGAGGGCGGAGCACACTGTAGGTAGGGGGAAGGGTTGAGGGAGGGGGAAGGGTTGAGGGAGGGGGTGGGGTGAGGATAAGTTTGGTGTTAGAGGGTTGGGGGGAGGGGATGAGGTTTGTGGTGGCGAAGCGGGCGGTGGGCGTAAGAGGTAGCAGATACTGAGACGACCAACGTGAGCCGCGGGTGAATTCTCACCTGACTGTCTGACAATCATTGCTCAGACAGACGCAAAGGTCCGTTATCGTCCCAAAGGTGCTATGTATGCTGTCATTAATAAGTCATTTAAACACAGGTTTGTATTATGTGCAAGTTATAAATGTAGGTCTTGTTACTGCTATCAATACACATCCTTAATGAACCATATTCTTATTGCGTGAACGTTTACTAATTCTTTAATGTACGCAACATGGGTATAGAAAAAAAAGTTTAAAGTTCGATAAATGAAACGTATTGAAGGGGAAATAGTGTGTCGCTTCAGTGTGGTATGCTCCAGTCCATCATTACTGTACGAATATGGTACACATGCGGTGAGCGGTGAGCGGTTTCCTCACTCCCATGCCCACTGACGTCCTAGAAATGTCAAAATCTAGGTATACTTTCGAACATCATAATGCTTTCATGTACCACCCACGTCTATTCCGTGCATAAAGTAACATGGGTTCTCGCCGCCCACTGAACAAGAAAGACATAATTTTGTTCCTTGTATGGGTCATGTAAACTGAGGCAGTATTCGTAATAGTTATTACATTTGACTAAGTAATTGAGCCCACTAGCCCGTTCTACTGCTTTACACATGTGCATGCAGGGTATGTGTCATAGCCTGTCTAATTGGTAACCACTGTCTAAGATTATTAGACAAATATAGAATCTCTAAAATATTTATGATCTCAAATTGTAGATCAGCTTTGAAAAATGACTTCCAGTGATTTCGGGACTAAAACGTTATGCCCCAACACACCCGAAACATTGGACATGGACCATGTAGTTCCCCCGTGCATGTGAGTAGGAGACATTCAGTGAAAGGTCGTCAAATCGCTCTGAGCCATTAGTATTGTTGCTTTTCATTGTCCACAGTAACACGTACGCTCTCTACTTTTGCTGTAATGCAGTAATTGTGATCACAACGTGATGGACGCCAAAGGGCTTTTGGCATGCTTCAATCTGGTAGAACTCAGCGATTGGTAGCGAATATGTTCAATGTGTCTCGGTCTGTGATTTGCAGACTTTTGAACAGGTTTCTGCAGACACATAATGTCAATGATCGGCACCACACAGAGCTTCCTAGGTCAGCACCTGAACTAGAATAGATTCATCAGAAATCCGGTTTTTCAAAGTCGAGGCCAAACAGTCAATCGATCCATTGTTCACTTGCGCCAGGCCGCCGGAGTTTGTGTTAAGAATAACGCCTGGATAACGTCGACGTGAGGCAACATGACAGAATTGGGTGTGGGTGTGTAATGATATGGGGCGGGATCACTCTGACTGCCAGAACGCCACTGCATCTTGTCCACGGAAGGGTCACTGGACAGAACTGCCGAGACCGCTTGTTGTTTCGTTTGCGCGCCATGCTGGTCTACGTTTTGTTTTACAAGACTATAACGCTCGTGCCCAACGTGCACGTATCGTAACGGGCTACCTCTAGCAGCAAAACATCACTAGTCATGACCTTTCCCCTGGAGGGCACGTCTGGGACATGAACGGGAGATGTGTACCCAGACATCACCCATTATCTCAAACGTTATTTTTTTTACTGCACACCCCTATCGTCTCTCTTGTTTTTTGCACCCTAATGCACCGCCAATATGTTCTGTTGATTGTCATGTTACACCTTGTCCTTCCTTTTTGTTATCTATCCATTACCATCACTCGATACCTCTTTGTACATCAACTATTATTTTCTAATACCCCCTTCTTTGAGCGTATGTATAGATTCTTTTATAATTGCTTTCAACTTTGGATATCCTTCGAACCGTAAATCAAACGTGTAGTTCACTGCATTACGTACAAAGTACTGTTTTCCAGCATGTATAAATCGTTTACTCTACTTTCCGCGCGTGTGATTGGCAAAATGTCGGTTGAATCTCTCAATATGTGCACGGTGTACGAGGATAGATATATTTTGTTTATCAATGACGAACTGAAACAGCTTAGAAATTTGAACATGATATCAATAGCGTTCAGTCATGTGAGCATATGAAACATCTGCTCCGTTATAACGTCATTATCATCCACTGTGTACGTCTTAATGCAGTTTGTGTACTCGTAGAAAAGGATGATACGGAATAGTGATATTTGTTGATAAGCAGTATGGTGTTAATTGTTTCAGCATTTGAAGCAAGGAATTCTAACATTTCATACCTCCAGCTCACACCGTTGGTTCAAAATTAAAATAGAATACATACTAATACCAGTATATCTGAAAACATGTGAAACATACATTTTTGGCTCTAATGTTTTAAACTTATTATGTACATGAAAGTGCCTTTCAGATACAATTAATATAGTCATATTGTCACTGTTCAAAACTATATTTTCTATTAAATGTACTACGTACCTGCAGTTAAGGAACTATTATTGATGTGGGTTCTTTTCTTGTACGTTTCCTGTACATAATTCGAATGCATACGTGCTGAATCACATCCTCTAAAGATTTGTGATTACACGTGTTCCTTCCTATATACGCGGTGTCACCGTATATAATTTTGCTATACAATTTCTAAATTACAATAAATGTATATATGTTACCTTCAATACATACACAGTTTTTATTTACTTATTGATCAGGTCACACATGGTACTGATTTCATTTACATATGGTGTATGCTCCTGAATGCTATGTGCACGGTATACGCTTTCATTAATACATACTTAAGGTATGTTTCATTACATACATGGTATATGTTACTTTAATACATACTTAGTCTATGTTCACTTTATCAGTACTATGGTTTATGTTTGATTCGTGGCATTCACTGAATAAGTTAACTACATGCATGGCGTTGGTTTCTTCAGGGCAGTTGGTAGCCCCCTGGTGATGGACCCGAACAGCATCTGCCGCAAGACGCGGCGGCTCGCAGGTAAACAGCGCGCCATATGCAGGAAGGAGCCGGAAATTGTTGAAGAAGTCGCAAAAGGAGCAAAGATGGCTCTTATTCAATGTCAGTATCAGTTCCGTAATCGTCGCTGGAATTGCACAACAGCTCGTCGGTCAATATCAAAGATTCTACGAAAGGGTAAGTAGTTTCTGTCATCTGATGATTAAAGTGGGAACTGAAAATGTTATCGGAATAATGGAAACTAACACCTATGCAGTGTAGTCTGATATACACACAGCTGCTGATGTCGCCGTCTACAGATCCGTAACTCCAGCTCACACATGGACCTGCTCCCTTCTCACACGTGGACAGGACGTGATGTAACACTCACTCACTCACTCACTCACTCACTCACTCACTCACTCACTCACTCACTCACTCATACAAGGTGGTTATGACTTCAACTTGGCGAGTTCTCTACATCATTGTTGTACTAGGCTAACGGTAAGCACTGTAGTATTCACAATAACAATGTCTTCTTACGCGGTATCCGTTGGTTGGTATCTAAACCGCACTGTTCCATGGTCGTGTGTACATGTATGTATGTGTGTATATGTGTGACGCGTGTATAAATGTGTGTATGTGTATAAGTCAGTGTGAATGTGTGTGAATGCATGTGAGTATGTATGTATGTATGTATGTATGTATGTATGTATGTATGTATGTATGTATGTATGTATGTATGTATGTATGTATGTATGTATGTATGTGTTCTTGCGTGCGTGCGTGCGTGCGTGCGTGCGTGCGTGTGTTTGTGTGTGTGTGTCTGTCTGTCTGTGCATGTATGTGAGTTTGAGGAGAAGGTGAATTGACATTGACACACTATTTGAGAACGACAAACGCTACTGTGCATTGGAACGAATCTTAACAATGGTAATTGAACACTTATTGTAGTTTGCGAGTTCAGGGTTTGTAAATACTCATAAATTTACACACAATAGTTGTAATGTTTATGTCAAAAAAAAAGAATATGGACTTACATGCTTTCAATAAAACCTCACCATATCACATGGCCCCAATGGCCAGCTATACATGCACAGGTATACTCACCACTTCAACAACTGTTTTCGTCATACGTCCTTGTTAAATTCAACGTTATTACACATTTGCGATCCAATATGAAATGTCTATACAATACATTCTCCAATAAATGAACATTGTGATATTCAAGCATGATACGAGCAAAGTTACTACATGATATAAAGACAAGAGAAAGTGGAGGAACTCACCGACATTCTTCTTGCTGGTAGAAGTGAGCTTTACTAACTCTTGTGAGGCCAATAGAACCACTACCGTTTATTCACCACATGGCCGTATCCCTGCCTCTTTCTAATACGTAAAGAATGTTTTTTTATAGAAAAAGAGGCCATTTTTGCAGAATTCCTGTCTGCAACTAAGGGTCATTTAATTAAAAGATCAAAGGAAAGGAGTTCTGTGAAGTCTATACACATCACAGGAATGGATGTAGGGAAGCAGCGATCAGATTTCACTTCAAAGACTTCAAGAAAATATTATCTGGCTTTCAGTGCCAGCGGCTGGCAGTCCGCGGAAACCGTTATGCGCATACAGTATAATTGCTACTTTGGTAGTCGAAAGTGATCATATTTATGGCACAGCTTTTCGTTTGAAGTTGTTCTACAAGAGTAGACATATGGAAAACAAGAACATACTTTGAGAGCCTTAGCAGCTCTGCCACTGCGTAAGCGTGTAAGCAAGTTGTAGGATGTTATAGTAGAACGTAGATGTGTCTAGCTATAGGGTTCGGGAAAGCGGGTACGGCAAGGAAATGGTACGCAGAGGAATAGCTGCATATACGCCGAGGTATGTTTTAACGTGTTTACTTTACCGATGTTTTGCAGTGGTATAATGTACTTATGCAACAACGAGTTGTCACATATATATACAATTAAATGAGTTTTCCATGCCACACCTTGGTCATTACAGTTCATGACTAATGCATATATTAATGATATACAATGCAGGAGTGATACTGACAAGCATTTTGTCCTACAAAATTTCTAAAATAACAATTTGAAATGTTTGTGAGAGCTACGCATACTGCCAAGATATTTATAGAGAGTAATGAAAGTGTACCCCTTGTCCATCTTTGCACGTGTTCTTACCCAAGGAAATATGGTTGAAACTGGCCAGTTAAATACTAACTCCATATAAAAACGGATTCGTTTATTGATACAAGTCAACAGTCAATGAATATTTGCAGCAATGACCAACCTACAAGTCTACCTTCTTGTAAATCACCTGAAGTACCCTAAGTAGATTTTATGTCACCTGATAAATACTTTCCTTAAGCAAATAGGAGGATTCTTTGAAGAGTTGCTTATTCTTTTATATGTCCAATTAAATCATCTTATTAATGACATCCTCAGTTAACGATTGTATCGTTCCAGTAATGAATCAAATCTCGCAAACATTATCACATTGTGTAAGACCAAATAATAAATATAAGATGTGAAACAAAAATGAACAAACTGAAAGTTGTTTACTGTTACTCTATCATCAGTATTCTCATTCTAAGCATGTATGGAAGTTGTTGTGGGTGATTACCTTCTCTTACTATCACTTAAACGCCAATATTATTAGCGGAAGTACAAATATACGGTTTCTACTGCAAGTATTCGGAAGCAGTAATGGCCAACCCATCACCCTTCTCGTTGCCGACACGCTGTAGCGAGAACATGGGTTATCTGTCAACGGTGTCTTCATGGAGGGTAAAATGTCCTTAGACAAAGAAGGTTATGCGTGGGTCATAGGGTTTCTCTTCAGCTTCAAACATTGTTTATTTAGCTTAATAGAGTATAGGAAGCTGCCTGTCATGATCCCGAGAGTACCTCCTTGTTGTAGAAGTACACCATCGACAGCAGAAGTCACCTACATCGCCTAATATTCACACAGACTGCATTGTAACAACCGCAGAAGACAACACCGCCGATATAAAATTCGCCTGAATATCATTTATCTTCGACATAAGAAATACGATATTTGACGGAAGACTCAGTACTCTATAATCTAGGCAACAGTGAAATAGTTTAAGTGTAAACCATTGAAAAACGCCCCAGCGAATCTTGTAGAAACCGTTACACGGTCCCAGTGAATCTTATGAAAACCCTTACACCGCCCCAGTGAAACTTGGGAAAACCCTAACACCGCCCCAGTGAACCTTGTGAAAACCAACACCGCCCCAGTGAACCTTGTGAAAACCCACACCGCCCCGGTGATCTTTGTGAAAACCCTAACACTGCCCCAGTGAACCTTGTGAAAACCCTAACACCGCCCCAGTGAACCTTGTGAAAACCCTAACACCGCCCCAGTGAACCTTGTGAAAACCCACACCGCCCCAGTGAACCTTGTGAAAACCCACACCGCCCCAGTGAACCTTGTGAAAACCCTTACACTGCCCCAGTGAACCTTGTGAAAACCCTTACACTGCCCTAGGGAACCTTGTGAAAACCCTTACACTGCCCATGTGAACCCTGAGAAAACCCTTGTATGCACCGCTATAAATAGTAAAAGTTGTTATATACACCGATATATATAGTGAAAATTGTTTGATACACCTCTAAATTAGTGAATGTTGTTAAATACATCGCGGTGTGTAGTGAATATTGTTATATAAGCAATATTGACAAAGTAGTATGTAGTGAATGACTTTAATAGACGAAATGGTATGTTGTGAGTGAGTGAGTGAGTTGGGTTTAACGCCGCTTTTAACAGTATTCCAGTTATATCACGGCGTGTCAGCTTAATGTGGGAGGAAAGCCCGAAGTGATGCAGGTCTTAGACGTTTACCACTTTGGTGAAACCCACTAGCACGGGTATGGTGCTGACAAACCTAGAAACATAATCGGGGCGAACCGGGATTCGAACCCATAATCGTAGGTTTCTGGCGTGGCCAAGGGAGGCAAATCTGCACAGCGAATCGCGGCGCCTTACACGACTGGGCCACATGTGCCCCCCGGTTATTGTGAAGGTTGCTGTAGGCGAAATGGTATGTTGTGAAGGTTGTTGTAGGCGAAATGGTATGTTGTGAAGATTGCTGTAGACGAAATGGTATGTTATGAAGGTTGCTGTAGACGAAATGGTATGTTATGAAGGTTACTGTAGACGAAATGGTATGTTATGAAGATTGCTGTAGGCGAAATGGTATGTTATGAAGGTTGCTGTAGACGAAATGTTATCTTGTGAAGATTGCTGTAGACCAAATGGTATGTTATGAAGGTTGCTGTAGACGAAATGGTATGTTATGAAGGTTGCTGTAGACGAAATGGTATGTTGTTAAGATTGCTGTAGGCGAAAAGGTATGTTGTGAAGGTTGCTGTAGACGAAATGTTATCTTGTGAAGATTGCTGTAGGCGAAAAGGTATGTTGTGAAGGTTGCTGTAGACGAAATGTTATGTTATGAAGGTTGCTGTAGACGAAATGGTGTGTTATGAAGGTTGTTGTAGGCGAAATGGTATGTTGTGAAGGTTGTTATAGGCGAAAAGGAATGTTGTGAAGGTTGCTGTAGACGAAATGGTATGTTGTGAAGGTTGCTTAGACGAAAAAGTGTGTTATGAAGGTTGCTGTAGACGAAATGATATGTCATGAAGGTTGCTGTAGGCGAAATAGTATGTTGTGAAAGTTGCTCTAGACGAAATGGTATGTTATGAAGGTTGCTGTAGACCAAATGGTATGTTGTGAAGGTTGCTGTAGACGAAATGGTATGTTGTGAAGGTTCCTGTAGGCGAAATGGTATGTTATGAACGTTTCTGTAGACGAAATGGTATGTTATGAAGGTTGCTATAGAAGAAATGGTATGTTATGAAGGTTGCTGTAGACGGAATGGTATGTTGTGAAGGTTGCTGTAGACGAAATTGTATGTTGTGATGGTTCCTGTAGACGAAATGGTATGTTGTGAAGGTAGCTGTAGACGAAATGGTATGTTATGAAGGTTGCTGTAGACGAAATGGTATGTTATGAAGGCTGCTTAGACGAAATGGTATGTTATGAAGGTTGCTGTAGGCGAAATGGTATGTTGTGAAGGTTGTTGTAGGCGAAAAGGAATGTTGTGAAGATTGCTGTAGACGAAATGGTATGTTGTGAAGGTTGCTGTAGACGAAAATGAATGTTGTGAAGATTGC